TCCAGGATTCCTGTTTGTAGAGTGGAGGAGTTTAGAGGTGGGAAGAGAAAATCGTTAGGGAACGATTCGGGATCGACCGGTTGACGTCGGAGCCATCCAATACCGTCCTACCTCCGCTGCGGAGGAAACGCGCTCCGGGCCGTCCCGCGGGAGCGGACGTCCCGTCGACGTCCCGCCCATGTCCCGCGGGAGAGCTCCTTTACCGGGGGAAGGAAGGAAGGAAAGAACGAATGCCCCTTTCGCACGAAATGGGTCGTACTCTCGAGTGGAATAGGCCATCGCTGCAGCAACCAATGGGCAATGCAGCCGCACCTGCAACCCCCGCGGCTCTGCCAGCTCGTGCCACGGACGGGGTTGCGGGGGGTGGCGGAGGTTCCGCGGCGACTCGGCGGCAGCCAAAAACCACACTCCAAACATCCACCCTCGGATCTTTGGCCCTGCCTTTGAGGGTAATAAAAGTTTCAAAAATACATACCGACCAGTTGGGGTCTTCTCACCTCTTTAAACGGCAAAATCACGGCGGTTGCTAAGGTACGTGGGTGGTAAACAATGCAGTTCTTCCCTTATATCCAGAGGTGCCGAAAATGGGGATGTTAACCCCATTGCTTTGAATTTTCATAAATATATTTACTCCGTTGATTTAATTAACAGTGGGTAGTTGGCAGGGCAGGGGCTCTCCTATCTTCAAAGATGTCGAAAACGGGGATGGGAACGGAGGGGATTTTTCTAGGAGGAATTTCAGCGCCCTCTTGGCCGAATTTTGTCACGGAAGATGTCGAAATCTTAACGCCGCGTCCAGTGCAACATCTCGTCCGCGTCGTAGACATGCCGAGCCATTTCTTAACGTCATAATAATGGACAGTTGGCAGCGAAGAATGCCAAGAGGAGAGCGCCAGGGGCTGGGGTGCAGCGGGCTGAGCTGCAGCTGCAGCGCAGCGGAGGAAGCTGTGGCAGCTCGCTGCAAGGATAGGCGTGGAGGACGGCGAGGGGGCCGGGGCGAGTACATAGGTATCGGTCGCTATATATGTGCCTATACGCTTTTGCGGGGATGGTGGTGAATGGCGGCGGTAGGGCGCCACGGGGCCGGGGGGCGAGGGGCACCTAACGTCCGCCGTTACTCACGATTCTCATTTGCAAGATTGCCTATAGATCTCGAAGATGGTTCCGCCACCCAGCTCCTCGGTATAGGTTCGTCGCGTGTACGTGTAACGGGTGCCATTTTGAAAAACCGACACCTGAGCTTTTCCCCGGAGAGCCTGGCCGTCGCGACGCCGCGCTTTTCCCCACACTCGACGCCCCTCGAATCTATGCACCTCGTTTGGCGTGGATAAAGGAAAAAGGATGAGAAAAAATATATATATGTACGTAAAGCGAGAGGGAAATGGACTCCCGACGCGGAATTCTGTGGAGAAGGTGGAGGTGGATTTCGTTATCGCTTAACAAATTCGGAGAGGGAGGAATTTCGGAAAATCACCCTCCCAGCTCAGTTTGAAGGGGCTTGCTCTTTCGGACCTTTTGTTCCGATGTATCTCGGATCTTTGCACGCAGTATCCCGGGGAATATTCTCGGGTTGTGCATTAAGGTGTGTGGTTTATGCATCGAGTGGGGAGTCGACATTCCGACCGGCTTCCCTGCGCCGCTGCGGCCGATCCGAGCACGTGAGTCACGTGTGAGATAGGGAGGAGGCGAGGGTCCTCTCGGCCATCCTGGAATCGGAGGTATCCGCGGATATTACCGGCGCAGGTTGTGGGAAAAAAGAATCCCTACTCCGCAGGCATCGTTTATTTACGAGTTTTCAGGGAGAACCGTCACAACACCGATTTTTACGAGCCCATTTTGGGAGCGAGAACAGCTCGTAAAGCGAGCAGGGGCGCGGGAATTACGACGTCCCAAAAAGGTCCTGCGCGGGCGATCGTACCTTATCCTAGGTCATGATACAAGAGACCAAATGGCTCCGATTAGGCGTGGTGGCACGATCTCCCGTTTCCAGCCTGGCTGTCATCTGCGGTTTCCAGGGGGGACATTCGACACTTTGGGATGGAACGCTAAGAAAATCACCCCTGCTTCCGTCGTCACCTCCGAAATAAAATAAACATTATAAGAAACCGTTGAACCGTGCCATCGACGTTTTTTTGATGTTAGGGAAGGTCAGGATGTGGAGGCAATCCTGTCGATTCTGAGAACAGATCGATGACAATCACTCTGAAGTGGATTTTTACGGGCATCTTGTATGGGAATATTTTTACCCATCCATCGTCACGAGAAATTCACGAAAAATTTGGGCAAATTGTGGAAACGTGCCATTTACTTTTTTCCACGTTGAGGAAGGTCAGGCAACCCTGTCGGACCCGAGAACAGGCCGACGACACCTGACCACCCCCAAAGCGGAACATTTTTACGGCCACCTTGTCCGGGGACATTTTTGCCCGGTATAAGGCGACCTGAAATCCGCAGAGGCACGGCCCGACCTTGGTCCGAGGGGTTTCTCCTTTTTTTACGAGTTGAACCCGCCATAAAAGGGTCATCGTAAAAGTCAACGACACCCGTTCGAAATGCCGTAAAAGGCTCTGTATTTTTGAGTCGGAGCTGTAAAAACCGAGCGGCCAGGGAGGACCGTGCGACAATGCGGCCAGGACGCACCGTTATGTGGGCACCAGCCCTTTGTCGGACTCTTTAACCTTGGACATCCGGGAACAATGCTGACCCTTTCCTCCTTGGACTTTTTTCCCCGGGTAGTTTTTACCCTGACCGACCTTGCAAGGGTTTCGAGAAGTCGAACGGTGATTTACGAGAGGGTCCGAGGCGGTCCTTCTTATCCGCCACGTTCCTCGACTCCGCGGGACCCTTTTGCCGAGAAGTTCCCTTTTTGCCGGGAACCAGGAAGAATTCCTCGAGTGTGCAGCTTTCCGAGTCCCGGATGCCATCTCGGCACGTTCGTACGATTCTCTTCCGCGCTCTGAAATTATTTATTTACCCCCAAAGAGGCGATTTTTCTTCGTCCCTCTCCTACATCCAGCGCCGATGGAAACATTTATTCCCTGGATATAAATTCCCCACGACTTTCTGGATTATTCCCTCGAAAGTCCACAGTTTCCGGGTTCAAAATAAGAGAAACTCGGAACGAACAACCGCACAACCGGAAGTAACGAGACTCGATGTGGACCCGTCGGGGTTGCTAATGGCGGCGTGGCTTTAGTACGCGATGCAGGGCCCCGGCAGCTAGGCGCCTCTTGTCCCTCGCTAACGAATAATTACAGCCTCAGAAATTATACGCGGCTTTCGGGGGTGGTAGAAGCCACATTTACACGGGGACGGTAACACGTAGCACGGCCGTGCGAAGTGCAAGAAACACGAATAATCGTGCCACGAGCTGCCCGAGCCGGTCGCAGTAATGCACGAACAGTGTTTCTCCGGAGAACTGCCGCACAGAAGCTATAAACTATTCCACCCCCTATTTTTTCTCCACCTACGGTCATTTTAACATTTTTACCCCTCTCTCCCTCCGACCGAAATTAATTACAATAATCGCGCGCCCTTTCATCCCTCTGAAAAAAGCGTCGGAAACGAACCTCGAAAATAATGAAAAAGAAATAGATTTAACTATAAGTCGTTCTCCGACATTACCCAACGACTTTTCTCCCCCTTTTGTATTTCTTGGGGACGCTTCCTCCCCCTCAGAAGCTATAAAAAATTCCACCCTCTCTCTTCTCTCCACCCACCGTCATTTTAACATTTTTACCCCCTTTCCACCCCTCACCATAATCGAAATTAATTACGATAATCGCTTACCTTTTCATCCCGCTGCAAAAAGCGTCGGAAACGAACCTGGAAAATAATTGAAAAAAAATAGATTTCGGTATATATCGTTCCCCGACATTACCCAAAGACACGTCTCCTTCTTTTGAACTTCTTCGGGAGGTTTCCTCCCTAAATCCCCGTGGGCGCATCGACTGGACCAACTTTCGCGTTTGACGTAACTCGGAAAAAGAAAGAGAGGTTATTTAGGGTGCGCAGGATGCGTTTTACGGGGCGGAGAGGGGCGAGAAATAAAGGACACGGGTCTATTTATAAAGCGGTCGCGTTTCATGAAGCTCAGTCGTTCCCGATATGTATATGCCCGACATGTGCACATCGCCTATGCACGTATGCACGTATATGCGCGCCGCCGAGACGTAATCGGATATTAAAGTTCATAATGCTACCGCAGCGCGCAATTAATTAATAATTGGCTTATTCTGCCGGGCAATCTTAATTCAATCTATCGCCATTCGTGGCGCCTCGTTACGATCATCTGCCATAAGAGGCAGTCTCTCTACTGACCGGGGCTCTCGGCCGTTTCCGCCATCTTGATAATTTTAAGTCATCACCCTTGAACGCAGCTAAAGCTCACCTCGTAAATTCGGACTAATAAGCCACTAAGCCCTGTCTCACCGGCACTTTCTTTCCGCACCGATTACGCCGTAATTCGTGTCGCAGCTCCGAAGCGACGCGTTAAACAACGCACGACCGGATGCGTTCGCGCGCCGGAAGACACTTTTACGCACCTCGACAACGATTAATTTTCACTGGTAAGACCCGCCATTTTGACGGGCCTTCTCCCCCATAATCGTGCCGATTATCCAGGTACGGCTCAATTTCTTCGAGACATCACCGGAGAAGTGCCCCCTTCGAGATGCTAATGACCGAAGACGAAGTGAGACCTGTGCACTTTGCGATCATGATCCACGCCCATTACGTAAAATTACAATTTTCGGCTCGGCTCTGATGGGACATGAAATTGTGGATTTTGCGCACACTGTATGGGGGAGAAAAAAAAAAGTGACAGCGAAATGTCACTTGCTGTCCGGCGTGTTATTTGGCGTCCTGGAACACGCAAAGTGGTGGTTACAGTCAATCGGGTATTACGTTAAATAATGTGGTATAACGGAGAGTGAGTACATTGCGGGAGATGTGAACGTACAAGTGCTTGTTTTTGAATTCATGGGAAACTTTCTTTTCAGGCCTTCCTTGGGATCCAGTTTTTCGGGAAAGAAACGACAGCTTGCCAGAGAGGAGTCTCTTCAGGGTGCGGCTGGAAAAGGTGAGGAGTTGTCATTTTTCTTAACGCGTATGACGAATGTGGGATTTTTAATCGGGCTAAATGTGGCTTCGTATCATCGGACGAGAGATTAAGAGAGGTCCTCGGTTGCCGAAAGGTCCGATAGATGTCGGCACTCTTACCGCTTCTTCCGATGATCGGCCGTACGGCCCAAAGGCCTCGGATGAGATGCCGCCTCTTCATCTTCGATCTTCGTGGCCGTGGGATACGTATTTAAAGATTTTGGCACGTAGTCCCTCGTCCAGCTAGCAGGCCAAGATCAAGGACGACGAGTTTAGACGAAATTTCAGGGACCGGCCTAAAAAAAGCCAAGGAATATGAGGAATGACCAATTTTTTATTAATTACATTAAATGAGGAAATTTCTAAAATGCCTTGCTCGCTCCTTCGAAAGACTCGCGCTATCAGAGAAAAGTAATTAAACAAGGTTATCTCTCGTGTCCGACTCTTTGGCCCGGGAGACGTAATGAGTAGAATTAGCACGTCGACCGGTGGCCAAGCGCGAATCTCACGAATAGGGGAATATCAAAGCGATTTGAAATTCTTTCCGGCGAAAATTTGCGTCTTTGCGCCATCCAACCTCGAGGCAAGGTCTTCGCCTCGTCGCCGAAGAAGAGGGAATACCTCTTCTCGTTACTTTCGGTCCATTAAGAGCAGGAGGTCTTTACTGGCTGCTCGATAGAAATTCCCAAGGGTCGTCGGTCCCGGCCCGACGCGTCGCCGTGGAGCGAGCACTTCGGCGAGGTCGTCGATGTCAAAGAGGAAAATCGAAAAATAAAGGAAACCCCGGCTACACCTTAACCACCCTCTAAATCCCAAAGATCCTCTGCACTTAAACAATGCCCAGATTTATTACAAAAAAATCCCTCAAAGAATAAAATGAATCCAGAATATCCGGTCCAGACTGTCGGTGGGATTTCCACCCTACCTCGAAATCCGGGTGGAAAATGATTTTCCTCGGTTCATCGCCGACAGGAAGAGACGTCGTCCCAGCCAAGGTCGTCGCCGTAGAAGAAGGAATACCTCTTCTCGTTACTTTCGGTCCATTAAGAGCAGAAGGTCTTTACCGGCCGGCCGATAGAAATTCCGAGGGTCGTCGGACCGTGGCGACGCGTCGCCGTCGAGGGGACATTTTCGCGAGGTCGGTGAAAACCGGTAAAAAAGGAGGAAAGAGCTCGATCGGTCTCCGTCGCTCCCTCGGCGGCGTCGGCAGAAGACAAGATGGACGCCGGGCGTCGGTGGGCGTCCACCGGCGACCTCGCAAATAGCGCCTCCGTAAACTATTCTAGTTCGCTTCCTCCTTTGTCGCAGTCCCGACAGGGCGAGTCCCGGTCCTCCCACGGGCTCTGCCTCGAGTCCTGCTCGGGTTCGGGTTTTCGGTGTCGGTCTGGGAAGGAGGCGCCCATTGCCCGTCTCGCTATCCCCGGTTTCCGCGCCATTTCTCCGTAACGCTCGCCATTTCCTCCCCTTTCGGCCCCCTTCATCCCTCGTCGCAGCGTGTACCCTCGCTGTTTGTTCTCTATTTGGATCGTTTGGCCCAAGCAAATACCCACCGGCCTTTCCACCCCCTTTCGCCCGATCCCGCCCGCTTCCGTTCCGAAACCGACCCCTTCGATCACCCCCGCCAAGATTTCCCGAGTTTGCGATCCCCAGGGATCGATAGACACCTATCGAGAATCGAACGCTCCCTGGAACCATCGATTTCGGAAGATTTAGGCGAATCCAAGGCCACGACCCGATATCTCCACCGATACCTAGGGTAAGAACGACTTTTCCGGCTTATCGATATCCATTATTAACGGTAACAAGCTTTTCCTCAATATATCCTCTGTCATTATTTCCTGCCCGAATTCGGGGCGTCGCGACGCGCCGCTCGGCGTCCGTCGGAACCCTGAAGAGAGCTCTCCCTGCGTCATGCTCAAAATTCGATTCTCCGAGCAAACGATTTTAAAAACAATGTCACATTGAAATTTAATTACAAGAGGTAATTTACAAGAAATATTATACATCTGCGTGCGTAATTTCGCCCTCTTTTGACCCTGTTAAAAATCCGATTTCTTATTTCTTGATGATTTCTAAATTCCTCGAGGGCGCGAGATTTGCGCGAAATAGAAATATATTCCTTGATGGATATTTGAAAATTATGAGAAGGGCGGGGAATAAAAATCATATTCCAGGATGACATGAAAATGGGTGAAAATGTGAAAACTCGGTCGTTGCTCCGGAAAGGGAATTTTCTAGGATTTCCTGAGGGGGGTCACCAAAGTAAATGAGGGATGTCGTCGTGTCGGATTACCGACGTTTACAACTCCGACCGGAAGGAGGTCCCGGGGGTTCTTCGTTAGCCCGAGGGAAGAGGGAGACTCGGAGGCTTCCCTTGGGGAGCGATTCACGTATCAAACGTTTTTACCACGGGATGGCCTCTGGGCCGTGCTCGCGTTTCATTTATTGCATCAGTTTTCCTTTAAAACTGCGTACTCCTCGAGGTGCCATTAGGGGAGTACGTGCCCCGCAACCGGAGGCGCCTCCTCGAGTCCTCGGCAGTCCGTCGGCATTAAGCTCCTGGGAATTGTTATAAGGACTTACGCGAAAGAGAGGGAAAGAGAAAAAGAGCCCAAAGCTTCTCACTTTGTTAATAAAAATATCGGCCAAGAGTATTTACAGGTAAACGCGAGCTCAGAGAAAAGATCCGTAATCGGCGCCGCCACGAGTCCTGGGAGATCCTTCGTCATCAACCCCCCGATAAATATTTAATACCATAAATGTACCTATTTAATATTCATTAATTTCACCTGGGAAGGAGAAATAACTCTCCTCGTTTAATTCCTGAATTTTTACACGGGACGATTAAGGTCGGTACGAATTTCGGAGCTTTTCGACGAGTTTAAGGTCGTCGGGGTTAGAATAAAAAATGTCCCGATGTTTAACGAGCCGGGAGAGTAAACTTCCATACGAGGATTCGAGTCTTACTGGGAGAGGAAGATGGGAATAATTATGCGTCGCGTCTTCCGTCGAACAGGCCGTACTCTGTCCACTTATCGGCACGTATTCTGGTACCGGGTATCAGTAGGTACGATCGACTCTCCTCTCGTGAAAACCAAGTACAACCAGTTCTCAGTTCTCGTTCCTGGAGCCCCCTCTCGTCTCTCGGCATCTCTCTCCAATCTCCGCCATCCCGAATGCGTGCGTCCCTCTCGGTCCCCTTGGGGCGTCCACATCGAATGGAGACCCCACCATGGGGCCCCGAAAATCCGGCCTTGGACGTCATCCGGCCCCTCGTCGGACCCCATTACTTTCGCAGCGACCTGGCTGATGCCCCGGGAATCGAATATCCTCGCCGATCGTGCCCATAAAATGCACAATTTCACCATAAACCAGGAAATCAAAAACGACGGCTGCTCTTCCGAGTTCCTAAATAACCCCGGAAGACGATAGAACTCCCCCCGCCAAGCCTGGAAATTTCCTCAGTATTTTTTACAATTAATCCTGCCCCATGCTGGAACGGATTTAATTTTTCTAGGACCACCATCGCGCCCATAAAACGCATAATTTCACCATAAACGAGGAAATCGGAAACGACGGCAACGTTCTTCGTAGTACTTTTTATAATGACTTCTGCTCCAGAAAATGTCGGAGCGATTCTGCACGGGGAACCCCCTACTCCCTACCGAGCTTCTATTTACGAGGAGTTGGGTATAATTTTTCGAGCAAAGCCAACTACCAGTTTCCCATCAGCGAGTCGCGGCCACTTTTGAATATTCACCGTGCTCGTTAATCGACGGATGCGTTTATGAAAGGCGATAATGTCGCCGAGTTCGCCGGATAATTTCCGGGCTTTCCGAGGCGAGCGAGTCGCAAACTGTCAAAGTATAGTCATGGAGCACCCTCGGCCATCAAGGCGCGCCGTTTGCGCGTCCGGCAGGATTTCTCGGGGCCGTGGAATTAATATGGCGAGGGCACGTCGCGGGAAAAATGGGGCCCAGCTGGGGGCACGGCGGATGAATACGCGACTCGGCCATAACTCCCATCTACCGCGTGCATCTCGCGTGGGCTCGTGTCGAGGTGGGCTCCGAAGGTGCACGTAGATACGCTCGGTATCTCTACTGCACGGCCAATGGGGTTTGGATGACCGTGATAAAACGGTACGGCTTCCGAATGTTGACTAGACCTAGCCTGAAGTCACTTGGAGGGGAGTGAGCAGGGAAATAACCCAAGACCAGCCTGACGGTGGACGATAGGGCGACTGGAATGGCTCCCTCCAAGAAATGGAGCATCTCCTTCTGCCATTGAAAAATCCTAAATACAGGCGAATTACCAGGGAAAGGGTAAAATGGAGGTCCTTCGTCAGCTCCGGTTCTGATATCTGGAGCAAGGGAAGCAAATCTGAAAGGACCTTGCCAGTTGGAGATGGTCGGGGTCCATCCAGCTGGGGCGCCGAGTGAATGGGCATGGTCCCAGAGATGGTCCACGGTCTATTCGCGGGGTTTGATGGTCCCCAGAAGTGGTCTCTGGCGTTATCGAGTACCCGGGTACCACGGGGTATCGTAAATCGAGACGGGTTAGTGCTTCCACCCCGGATGAAAAATCAGTGGTCGCCCGGGCGGCGCTCTGGGCGACGATCCGCCCGGGCGGGGCTCCCGACGCGGTGTTCGAGCACGTCGCCGCTATTACGCGATGAGCAGGCAATTTGCGGATCGGTCGATCGGCGATCGCCGATCGGGCCGCATAACTCGGCGGGGCCGATCGGGAATTAATCAGCGACCATCATCGCGGCAGGTGAGGGATCGAGCACCTCGAGAGGGATCTTCCACAGGGGCAGGCGACGCGGCCGCAAATTGCTCCTCGTGGATTGGTCAACCGGAACGGTTAAGTCGAAAGGGGTTAAAAGATAACTCGGCAGGCCTCTCGATAATTGGGTGGAAAGAGATGATCAGGAGTGAAGCTCCTCGCTCTCGGATCGCTTCAACAGCCTCTGCAGAGTGGCTGTCAGGGTCAAGGAGACATCCTCCTGGACATCCTCCTGAACCTGCTCAAGACCCGGACTCGATGCGCGTTAAATCCCTCTAGGAGGATGAAAACCAATTCCTGGTTTCCAGGTGCTTAACTTTGCCACCGGGTGAAGATCCTTCAGGGTGAAGATCTCTTCGTCCTCTGTTGAGTTCATCGGCGCATCCTTACGGTCGAGCAAGGACCCTCTGGACCTCGCTTAAGGACCTCGTTACGCGCCTTGATATAGAGCGAAGCCGAAGACGCGGGGATAATTGGCAGGATTTCTCGACAACAGGACCCCATGTCCAGCAGGACCTCGCGGCTCGTAATCCCCGCAAGT